CACTGCAGTCACGCTCGTACAGATGGACGACATTACCCTGGTTGTCACCCAGGAGCTGGACTTCAATGTGCTTGGGCTTGTCGAGGAATCGCTCGATGAAAACGGTTCCGTTGCCGAAAGCCGACTTGGCTTCTGATGTGGCACGCTCAAAGTTATCCTTGAGAGTCGACTGCTCACGCACTACACGCATACCACGGCCACCACCGCCAAACGCGGCCTTGATGATGATGGGGAAACCATACTCATCAGTAAAGGCCTTTGCGTCTTCGAACTTGTCGACAGGGCCAGGGGTTCCCGGTACAACGGGGACGTTGCACTTGACGGCGAGCTTTCGCGCAGAGACCTTGTCGCCGAGGGCGTCAATGGTATCGGGAGAGGGGCCAACAAACTAAACGAGCAAAATGGGTTAGCGCGGGGTTCGACGAGGATTTAAGTGTTGCATATGCAAGGATTAGACAAAAAAGACTGTGGTGGTGTCGAAGTGTGCCGTCTGCGAGGATCGGCCCCGGGCAGGTGGGCGATCGGCCCCGCCAAGGGCGATAGGCTGAAATGCGGGCGATACTCGAGGCATGTGGCAGCCCCTCCACGCGCTTTCGTCATAGCGTAAACAAAATGGTCAAAGACTCACAATGAGGCCGGCCTTTTCCACGTTGCGGGCAAATTCTGCATTCTCTGACAAGAAACCATAACCAGGATGAATCATGTTGACATTGTGCTCGACGGCAATCTTGATGATCTCGTCGCCGGCCAGGTAGGCGCCGACGGGCGTGTACTGACCCCGCGCGCCAATCTCGTAGGCCTCGTCAGCCTTTTGCCTGTGCATGCTGAGGCGGTCCTCATGACTGTAGACAGCTACTGTGTGCAGCGACAGCTCGTGGGCTGTGCGGAAAATGCGGATGGGGATCTCTCCTCGGTTGGCCACTGGCAGACACGTGTTAGAGGCGCCCCGAGGCGGATTGCGTGCCATTGGATCGCGCAGACGTACCCAACAGCTTCTTAAGCTGCATGATGGAGCTGCTGGCGCGCAGCTTGTGGTGCACCGAGTTTCTGTGGGGGTGGTGCTCGCCATGGTCCTCGTCAAAGTCGTTGTCGTCAATGGCCGACGAGCTGGCCGGATCCATTGCGAGGCCCGACATTGTGACAGAGGGGTATGTGTGTTAGAATTGGAGGGGGCGAGGAGGGAGAGGAGGGAGATGAGGGGAGGGGTGAGAGAGGGAGGGGAAGGAGAGGTCTGAGAGGGGTGCAAGAGGGCAGGTGGAGGGCCAATTTATTGATGGCAGCGCCTATCGGAGAGGCAGGGCCTGGCGCATCTGCTGGAGCTGTGGCTGCTTCGAGTGACTGGAGCCCAGGATGCAAGTTTAATCCCGAAACAGATGTAGAGAGCCAAGGCAGATGGAGGCGTGGTGGCCCAAGGTTGCCAGAGTCTCCGTCGGCGGCGTCAGAAGCAAGCACGGGCTAGGTGCATGCCACGCCCCGGCCAGAGCTTCACCGGGCGCGGGGGGGCAGGCATGGGAGAGCTCTGGCTAGTCATGGAGGGGCACTGTAGTCGACGCAAGATGGTTTCGAGAGAAGATTGCGTACGCCGCCCATGGTATCCGCCCGCCAAACACACCGGAAACCTCTCTGGTCTACCGCTCCCCCATCCTCCCCACGCCGCCAGCCTCAGTCCGCTGTCCGCATTGGCTCAGGGCCCCCTTCACCGCTCTCGCTGCCGCGTCCGCTGTTGGCCTAGGTCCAGAGAGCTCTGCTCCATTTTGCTCTGCCCATTACCTCTTCCTCCCCGCCGCTGACCACGTTCGGATCAAGTTCGGCCCCGCGGATAAATCCCACGACATCACATCGCACAAAGCGCTTTTCCTCGGCCTAGGTACATGTCTGGCTCTTTGCCTAGCCCGCTGCCACTGCTGAGCCTGTCTCACTCGTGGACAATGGGCATTTGAAAGCGGGCCATGCCGCGGCTGTATCAGACTTGCCCGCCAAGCCGACTTGGTGATGAGGTTAGAGTTTCCAAATCCGATCCATGGAACCTTAACCCGCTGAGAGAGATGCACGCCTCATGCCGCTGCAGAGCTCCAGAGCCCCAGCCAAGGCGCGGAAACCGCTGCTGCAAGCGACGAGGGCGCGAAGCATGGCTATTCACGCTCCATGAGATGAAAGAGTGGGGTTGTGGTTAGAGATGCAGGCGACAAAGCTTGGCACACGCCCTGACGAACACTAGTCGATTTGAAACAACCTTATCTCTTCAATTCACCCACCACCCACCACCCGCCACTCTGACCCACCCCTGCGAGACCTACTGTGTACACACACAAACCAAGGCGCTTGCCAACAGGCCCTGGCAAAGCTCGCCGTAGCGGAACAGCCACCACGAGTCGACATCACCACTGCTGATACTGCTCAGCACGGTTTGCATCCCTTTGGACCATTTTGCACAGGCGGTGTACAAATGAATTGTGGTGGGTGGCTACAAAGGTTTCACATGAGCACTACCTACTTACTATGCTGTTGCTACTACGCAGTGGGGGAACCGTCATAACCCTGTTCTTAGCGGGGTAGTACTAAGGTAGCTACGCCTAGTAGTGAAGCCAACAACACAAGTTCGAGACCCTCACCAATACCCTCCCTAGAAACCGCTGGCAATTGCATCGAGTCTCCCCGCATAGCTTGTATTCTTGCAGCTTTGCCTTGTCATGTTGGACGCAGCTGTCTACATCTAGTTTGACGTTTTGAGGTTTCAGACCCTTGCAGCTGCCATGCGACTATGTGCACCAGTACAAGACTGACAGCCATCTTTATCGCCGTTTGCCTTCGCATTAGGTTAAAGCACTCACCAAACCAAGATCGTTGCATCGTCAATTGTATACTCTTGAGCACACGGTTTTGTGCCTAATGCTACGCTTGCCCAAGGCCGAATCTAGTTGGCCCCTTGAAGCTTTATCCGTCCACAACGTTCACACTATACTAGGTACCCCATTCCGCCTCGGTCCCATCTTCTTCCCTGATACTGTCTAAACTGTCTGTTATGCTTTCCATCATGTGTGCACCGCTGGCAGTCAATGGCTTAATCCCATCTAACGCAGTTCCCAATCTGCATTCACCGATAGCAAAACCGTTGTGCATGCAGTCCAGCTACCCTTTTGCAACGCATGCCGTGGTTGTCCCCCACTGACGTGGAGCTTGGACAGGGTCACCTTAGCCGACCGCTTCAATCTTAGCTCCTCTGAGGCGAGGTCTCCGGCTGCAGCATCGACCACTTTCTGCCTAACCAGGGTCTTGTGTAAGGATAGCCCCGGTCAGCCGCTACCAACACCGGAACACTTTACTCCAACGTCGTCTTAGCCTTATTTATCATGAAATGGTATTGGTCTGCCGCGAATGCGCTCTTCAACCTGCTAAGCCTGTTAGCAGACACTATAGCACCATCTGCTTTGACGGCCTCCATATCCTGTCGTTCGCCATTTGCTGCAACCTCTGGGGCGGTGTCTACTTTACCAAATCTACAGGCAAGCGCTTGATTAGAGTATTCGGTTGGTTTGCTTTACTTGGACTGACGTGGAAAAGTCCCGAATCTGGAAATGCAAAAGACCCTGTCTCTAGTAACGCTGAATACGCTGCACAATCACCCAGCTAGCTTCATTGGAGCAATGGGCTTAGTCTACTTGGCCTGCATACTGAACAGGGTTTTCTTCTCCAGAAATAGCGCCACAACAGGCAATAGAAGCACATGCTCTCTTCCACTATCCTCTTTATCTATAGCCTCGCCTTTCGCTTTATCAGCTTGACCGGTACCTTGTTGTCGCGTTACTCAACAATTCTAGCAGCATTTTCAATTTTATCTTCTTGATTTCTATAAATAATTTTCTTTTGAATGGCACCTGGTTCTACATCACTCTATAATGCGTCCTGCCTCCTACAAGCTTCGTTGCATTTGAACCCATCACCCTTGTTCCCGTGTTCAAGACTTTGGACTGGTCCGGCCCGATGAATTTAACCAACTCTTCTTTAATCGATACGAACGGTTGGCGAGAAAGCGTATTGCGGTGTAAAAACATCATCGTTCGGATGATGGCTTCCGTACGCTATGACATCTGACCTGGCCTTCAGTCTGGCCAATCAAAGCAGGACACCAAACCGTGCGTGTGTTTGAAGCAATGATTTGCAGTTAGGTTTACGCCCGTTTTGGACTTTGAGGCTATAGTATCGACTCCACTTTTCTTACTCTCTTCAGGTGAACACACTCAATGTGCCTCACACCTATATTCACCTTCTACTTTCCGCAAGTCATCCTCCTGAACAATGAAAACAAAATCGATACGCATACACAAAAATGATATTTGTAAAAGGAAGAAATTGTTAAAGAATTCAAAGTATTCAAACAAAGGACGCGGACGATTCCATGAGAACTATCGATAGTGCAAGTCTTGACAGCTGCAGTAACGCCGACTTCGAAGAGGCTACTATGTCAAAATCGACTAAGTCGAAACACTTAACAATACCGATTGTCTCCATTTGCAACAAGTTTATCCCTTCAAGAGCTGGGTCTGCGACACCTGCCAAATTTTCCCGCGTCTAGCGGCGAACACGTTGGTACAGAGCCCGAGATTTCCAAAGACTATATATAGAAAGCAAAAAAAAAGGTGAGACCGCCATCTTCGGTTCGACCATCAAGATTCCAGTGGCAAAGATTTCAGGAGACGACAAAGAAAACCTTGTTGATATCACACATCCATGTGGACTCCCCACCCTCGAGAGGGAAAAAAAGGAAGATACCTCGATTGGGAGGATTTGGTATTATCAAAGTCTTGGAACACAACTGCTCCCATGATGCAGAGGTGTCCTCAGTATCAATCCCGATTCCCAGTTTAAGACGAGTTAGCCATGCTAATCCCTTTCTCAGGCTATTTCAAACCCCATAAATCTGCCAAACAAAAAACAACCTCAAATATATCACTCCGCACCCTTTATTTTCCTCCAACTTCCTCATATTCCCTTCTTCCCAGCTACTCACTCAGCTCCTTATCCTCCTCCCCCCTAAGCTTCTTGCAAGCAGCACAGCTGCATTCGTGACGTCCTCCTCCATTCAGGCCCTCCGCAACCGCGGCGTCGTTATCGTTCGACTCCTTCAAAAGACACTGTTCGTTCTTGTCACTAACACCTTTTTTCGTCGATGTGCTGGCTTCGTCTCTCTGAGTCTTGATGCGCTTCCTCTTCCTCTTCTTCGACTCAGGCGTCCATTCCTCGTCCTCGGTACGGTCTTGAACATCGTTTTCATGATTTCCATCTTCCATGGTGAACTCAGCGTCTTTCGGTGGGATGTACTCCATGTCATGCGCCTAGCCTAGTTTTTAGTTTCTCTCCACCTGTTTCTTCTATGATGGAATTGTTGTACCTTTCTCACGTTGCGTTTTGGCTCGATGAGTTCTCCAGTGCCGAGTACGCGGCCTGGGCCATTGAAGTAGGAGCGTTTACGGGGCATAGTTGGGTTGGTTTGGTTGGTGGAGAGGGTTGTTGTGGTGCTTTTGGTTTGGAAGTTGAGGAGATGGGGATGAGAGAGAAGTCCGTTCAATGGATATAGTGTTGCGAGACTTTATGGCCAGCAGGTGCAGGTGATACTAGCAGAGTTGCTACCCCGATCGCCGCCCATATATTGAGTTATTGTAATGTGGTCAGGTGAAGGCAGCACGTACTGTTGCTGTAACGTTTGCAATGATACAATACGACTTCACAATACTTCCTTCAACCCATCTCCTATTAGTAAATTCAGTAAAACTACAGCTCATTTCACCTTGTTGTCGCTACTAAATTAGATCATAGCTCATTGAACTCACTATTAACCCCTCCATCCTACCACGAATGGAGGACTACTAGTACGCCAAAGCGCAAAAGTTTGGTAGCTCGCGCAGTTAATGTGCTGTCCATTCTATTGGCTGAAGCAACTCGCGCCCTTCCAATATGAAGCTAAGCATTCATACCTCACCAATCGTTTCAGTATGCCAAAAAAACAGCAGAACAGCTGGCATGGAGCTTTTCTGCTACATTGGGATTACTTCCCAGGATGCTATTGTAACTACATCATGTGATGCAACTAAAGAGATCCCAGAGCAACATAGATTCGACTCTTACTATGTGTAGCATGGAACTAAAAAAAAACATAATCGCATGGAAAATATTCATATTAATATGCATCGTGAATTGGTGGGAATAAACTGCGACGAGTGACAGAATGATGCTAGGCTACTTGTCCGAGATTGGCCCTCGCTTACAGTACCCGCGCTACCTTCACCATCATCACAAAAAAAGAACTAATTTCGACTTGACAAGATCACGTCGGAACAGCAAAAAGAGAATTTCCGACACCGGGAATCGAACCTAAAGGGGAATTAGAAGTGGTTTTGGAGTGAGTTGTAGTGATAGAACTTACCCGGGCCTTGCCGGCACTGAACAGTGAACTGACTCTGCGATGAGAGCGGCAAATCCTAGCCACTAGACCATATCGGATTTTGATGAAAAGATTGGAAATTGATAAAATTATATACTCGCAAAAATAATCTGGATGTGTTAATGGAATATCGAGTGGAACTAGTTTTTCATCTTTGCACTCCTCGAAAGCGGGGTAGCTAGCTTTGGTATCGATAACACATTGCGAATACCTCTATGCTCCTCAGTGTGACTTTACTGCGTCCGCAGCGGAGCAACACCAGCATCACCATGGATCGCCCACTTTAGTAATTTTATCAACACAGTAAACTATTTCAAAGAGAAATGAGAGTAGGCCAAAAGAGAACATACCAGGTATCAACTGACCATGCGCACTGCAAAAAACGAACAAATAAGAGAAAAGAAATATGTTCAAAATTAACCAACTTCTCGCCCAGCCTAACCCACCACTAGTGTATCCGCTCTCTCTGGCGAGGATGAAGTGGCTACCGGAACTAGGCCCAGCATTCTAATGCCATTTTCTAGAACAATCGCAGTGGCTTCGTATAGCGCAGCAAGTCCTGGAGTGACATCTTCATCCTCCCTGTCCACTTCCTCAGCCCCATCATCTTCCGCAAGGCACTCGGCCAGCTGCTCAGTCACGCTAGTGAGATACGTGACGATGCCGGCCGGCTCAAGTGAGCTATACGTTGCCTTTACGACTTCCGGATACTGAGCCAGGATACGCAAAAGGTTTGCCTGGTCTTCTTCTGCCAGTATTTCGTAGTCTTCATCCGAAGGTTCAGCTATAGAATCGACGTTTTTGAGGAGGAGATGAAGTCGTGCTAGCCAGTATTGGAGATCTGGTCCTGATCCAAGTTTGAAAGAGGCCATTGCGCTGGTGTCGAAGGCATGCGCGGTGACCAGGCGGGTGGAAAGCTCTTGGATGAGAAGTGCGGATGTTGCTAGACCCTCTTTGACTTTATCTAGTTCACCAATCAAAGCAAGTTTGTTTGCGTCTGATCCAGACAGTAACTCCATTGCTTCCTCGCATGCATCCAGTATGCCCTGGGGCTTGTAGCCCTTGCCCAGTGCTGCTGCCATCCTCGAAGTTTCGCTGAATTTGACATGCTGTAGTTTGCTGGCAAGGTTCTTCAAGTCCAAGACTTTCAAGATCTTGATGAGCTGACCGAAGTGGACGCTGTTGTCACTGGCCACAACGTAAATCATCTTATCGAACGAGTACTTTCTCGACCTCTCCAGTACGGCAGCAAGGTCGCGAAGAAGATACGTGCTAGCTCCAGTGCGGTCGCGGATAATGGCAGTTCCGGATTTTATTCCTAGTTTCTGCATGTGAACGATCCAAGCTCCTCCACTTTCCTCTGAGATATTCTTTTCTTTCAACATCTGCTCAACCTCGATCATAGTGTCTTGGCAGATCTGGGACTCCCCAGTGTACTCATCAAAGTGAATACCGAGTCGTTCATAAAACTCGGTATAGTTGTCAATATTGACCTTCCTGAGACGTTCCCAGAACGCCACAAGAATTTCGTCGCCATCTTCGAGCTTCCTGAAGGCTTCATTCCGTTCGGCAAAGATGCCTTTGCTTTCAATCTCAACTTGAGCCTCCCCTTTATCTTCTCCTTCTTTGGCTACTTCATCACGCGCCTGCTTGCTTGCAGCTTGCTCTGGCTTGAAGTCCTCTTCAATCCTGTGATAGACCTGGAGGAGGTGACCAACGGAATCTGCTTCATATGCCTCTTCTGAACCATACTTCACCCATCCAACATAGAGTAAAGCAATTGGCTTACCCCAATCGCCGAGGTAGTTGATGCGCGTAACATTCCATCCCATTGATTCGTATAGCTGGCCAATAAAGGCGCCAATAACTGTGCTGCGAAGGTGTTTCCCCTGGAACTCGCTTGTAATGTTTGGCGATGAGAACTCAACTACAAGTTTCTGGCGCACATGTTCCTTCGGCAAAAAGCTGCCATATGTGCTCTTTCTGTCCAAGATGTACGGCAATAGAAAGCGTGGTACAGCATCGAGCTTGAGGAAGAATCTCAGATGTACCCCTTCAGGTATAGGAGGGTCGAACAGACCATGGTCTTTCGGGAACTATGACTGCGTTGGTTTTAAAGCTCTCAACACACGGAAGTAAACTGACCTTGTCCACCAACTCCGCTGACAACTCATCTGGCTTGCATCCTGGCCACAATCTCGGGATGGTGACAGACAGGTCGCCATTGAATATATTATTCGGCCACTGTATAGACTTGAATGCGTCTTGAATGTCACCCGTCACAAGGTTGGAAACGGCATGAGCCAGGGACGACCGGCAGATATCAAGAGGGTTTGAGAGAAGATTGGCTTCATTGGTCCCAGTAAGAATTTCTGAGATGGCAAGGCGATCTAGCCACTGCTCTAAACTGGCAAGACTGAGTGTTGATAGACCGGCCATGTTTAGTGTTTAGCCTCGTGACAATAACGAACCCGACTGCAAAATTTACGTATTCTACTATACAAGAGGAACCCAAAAACAAACGTAGTAACAAGAAATAACTCATCTCACTGAACGCATTGTTTTTGCATTGTTTTCCCTCTCATAGGCGTGGTTAGGGCTGTCTTCACAAATGCCGAGCTTCAGCCTTGAAGGATCGTGTTTGCCACGTTGTTGCGAATCTGTTAGCTATCGTGTTCACTTGGGATTGGCGGTAAGTCTTATATGCCCATTGCCGTGTATTCCGTTGGTGGTTGCACTGCTTGAGCAATAGGGAGCTGGTAGCACTAGCCAGCTGACTTCAATGTATGGAGTCCGAGTGTTGCATTGCGCTGCTTCGTTCAGAATATGAGTTACCTCGTATAGTGAAGATAGGAAATGTGTATAGGGAGATGCAGCCCATCGAAATGATATGGGTTCAATGAATTTGTTTACCAGTAAATGACTTTGGCATCCGAACTGATATCAAACTGTAGAGTTTTTGATGAGAAGAACAACACAATACGAGCTGAAAGAATTTTCAGAAGCTTTTATCAGTATGTTACAGAAGTGTGTCCTGTGATCTAGTGATTGGGCTGCGATATGATGGATGGATGACCTCATTGATAATGATTTGCTACACCAATCCTACGCTGCATTTGGATGATTCTCCGATCATACTTTCGCAGTCTGGGACACATATCAGCGCCTCCATGAGCATAGATTAATGTTTGCAGTTGACATAATACCCTGTTGAACGAGGTGAGGGGTAGGGTGGATGTAGAATGAGTGTGAGGATCTGTGTCTCCTTGGTTGCACAAAGGAGGGGCATACTAATGCCCCTCTAACCTCAAGAAGAGAACAGTACCTAATCAAGAGAAGGCTAAGTAATCCGTTGAACCCCATCTGTACTCTATCTTTAGCCTTTAAACTGCAAGGTGTACTTCAACCCAGAAGACACAGTCAGCCTTATATTTACTGTCTAGAACAGAAACCGACACACTAAAACGACACTAGAAGCGACTTATCTGCATTTCTACATGGTAGAAAAGCACATTTTGTAAGTACAGAGATATTCAGAACATATGTATAGCTCATTCATTTGCATCAGTGCACATCAAGACTGTGTGAGCGGGAAAGATGGCAACACCAACTTGTGGATCCACATTATAAGAGAGAAACTCCCCTCTTATTCATACATGACCAAAACCTTCATTAATGATACTTAAAATCAACCAAATTGTCAAGCGCATTGGTGGCCACAAGAACAGGATCCCACTGCAGGCACTGGGCAATCATAGCGCTTCACAACACAAAGTTCTAGAGCTATTAGTTGACGTTTTGTAACAAATATCATCAGTTTTGTAGCCAGACATTGTTTTCTGTCTAGAAAAAGAGGCAAAGAGAATGTATCGAGATGTTATAACTTACCAACTTCATCAACTTCGAGGTATAGGCGACCCATCCATTTGTCGATTTTTTTGAATACTGAACTTTCTTTGATTCTTTCAAAGATTGGAATCTTTGTGAGCAATGCAGGGAACATGCTCAGTGCCAACTGAAATATTTGAACGCAAGGCGCCACTAATGACAAGAGGATCAGCAGTATAGGAATAGACAATACGAATGCCTTTGGGCTACGATCAATGGAGAGAAAGTTGCGCTCGCTACAGAAGTATTGCAGAGCGACGGCAATTGAGGTCGTCACTATAAGCAGCTGTCGATGTCAGCGAGGTCGTTTGAGCGAGATCCGTAAGAGCCTACCGCTACATTAGCCCTTGAGAGTCTGATATTCGTCCTTGCAATCTTGCTATTCGCCTTTGCGATTTTGATATTCTCTTCAACAAATTCCTGGTTGAGTTTGTTGTTCTCTTCAACAAACTTCTGGCTGAGTTTGTTATGCTTGCTGAGGTCCATAATATGCATCAAGGTTTCCTTGGCATTTATGTTCCGCTGGTCCGTCAGTTCCAGCGTAAGCTATTCAGCCAGTTAGATCTATTTGTTAGCAGTGATATTGTAAACGTACAGTTATGGTAGCGTCGTTCAGAGTCCTCTCCAAAGATTCGAACTGATGCAGCTCGAATTTTAGTTTCTCAAAGTTCGCTTTAGTATTCTTGATGGCTAGCCTTGCCTTCCGGTCCTTGATGTCCGAGAAATATTGGAAATCTCCATCAACACTGTGAAATCTTTCCCACACAGCTACCGTACGCTCCAAACATGTGATCAACTCATGTAACACTTGCCTGATCTGTTTGATATTGTCTTTAAGAATTTTAATTTCTTCCTCAGGGCTCGATGAGCTCGATGAGCTCGGCACTGCATATATCGAATGTGAAATCTGTTGGGGCATGGGTAAGAGATCCATGGTTGTAAGTCTATCTTGAAGCACTTACCCAGTCTTGGACCTCTAACCTAAGAGTGCTTATGAGAAACTCGTATCGTTCGTATATTATCTGCACCCGGATAGCGAAGACGCTCAGAAAGTATACCCTGGGGTCCCATATCGGCGCACTAGCATCTAGCACATGGTGATCATCGTAATCCGTGCAACCCGTAGCGAAAATATCTTCGTTTGGCATCTCGTCATTGTCATCTTCGTCTTCATTTATGTTATCAGTCGACCACTCCAAGGATGAGAAAGCATAGCCAGTCCATTCCGAGCTATCGCAACCAAAAATGAGGACAGTTTCATGGACTTTCCGAATAGAGAATTGAGTGGCGGAGTGATCTTCTCGCGACCCAGTACTCAGAAAGGAGAGATTTGTCTTCAGGAGTTCAGTTGCGCTACCATTATCAATTTGCGAAGCGTTCGAAGAGTCTTGTTCCTCCAAAACTAGATACGGTAGACTGAACTCGAGATGAAAGGTAGCGAAACCAATGTACTATGAAGTTAGCAGCGTTTTAAAATAGGGCAACGGGTTGGCAACTTACTGGTATGCGTACTTGAATACAAGTCTCGCGCGCAAGGTGGTTGCGTGTTGCAAGTCTCAAGGCCGAAACTTCATTCCAAGATGAGGTCTGTGCAATCGCACGAACAAAGTCATAATCCAGTTCCTGGATAAATCTAAGACATATCGTTAACAAGTATTTTTTCCAAGGGTATGTTGACATGCCAGAGAACTATAACGCAGATGAGGAATGAATCTCAACTTACATCAAACGACGAACCGCGTCCGTATCGGAGAGGGCATTGGTAGACTTCTAAGTAGTTAGTATCACTCTTCACATCTTCAAACATCACCAGGGCATAACTTACGCGTTCCTGGATGAATTTTCCCAGTTCATCTGATTTTACCCATCGAGGAGAGCTTTGTTGGCCTAAAGCTCTCGTACGGGAGTCCACCCAAGCTCGCCGAGGGTTCAGCAACTTGGTTTTATTGTTTGCAATCTTGTTAAGTACTTTCTTTGCTTGTTGAACTCCTCTTGATGGTATAGAGTTGTCGGTGTATTGTAAAAAGCTATCGATGGGATCTCGTTTCACGTCTTCTTGTTGTAGGCATTGCCGGAATGGGCGGTCATGCTGTCTACGGTTCTTTTGAAGAAAAACTTGGCCCCAGCTTTTGTCACAGTCTTCACGGTCCGATATCCAAGGCGAACAGTCATAAAAATACTTGGCGCTGAGTTTTGGAGGCATTTGTATCCAACAAAAAGGACATGCTCGAGCTTTCAGTAAGGAAACTAGTTCGTAGTGCCAACTCCTGGGCTTTCGGGATACAAATCCGTCTCATGAAAGGCGGAGACAAATTGACTGTGACACAGTCGTCCTAATACTGTATATGGTCGAACCAAAGAAGGGCAAAATCTGCCTCATCTACCCAGAAGCCACGATAAAAGCCAATTGACATATGTTACACTGCGGTACACCAACTCTGACCTGCCGATGTCGGATACTCATACGCTGATCGGTGTGTCCATATCACAGTCGAAATTAGGATTCATGAGGCTGTGCAAAAACCACGTTTGAGGATATGAGTTGCTGGGCAAATACGTGCCATGCGACTGCCTGCATCACGAGGTCAGTTGCAGGAGGAGGCTTTTCGTCTGTACCACATATCTTTGAAAGCGTCCGTGCATGACCGCACTCAGGAATACACAATTCGTCAGGCTGAGATGGGGCGAACTTCTTAGAGCATAGCTGCCCAATGCATCGTGAAGAGGCAAATGTCGGGCATATTAGACCTACCAGAACCCCGGTTTCTGGTGTTTTCTTAGCGCAAGGCAAATTCTTGAACGGGAAAAGACTTCCCAAGAACATCAGAATGCCAGCGCATGATATGGCGCATAGTATACGTGATCATTCGGCAATCTAAGACTGGATCTATATTGGATTTTGTGTTTCAATAGCGGATGTTTCGAGTGAAAAGTTGGCTGAAAAGACGAAGATGTTATATGAGTAATTGTAGAGGGAGCGAAGTAGAGACGCCTGCAACTAGTCTCAAAAGTCATCTAACCGGATTGAGCACAAAGGTGAGCTGCATTGAGGCTGATATTCAAGAAACATCGTGCGTAGCCCGACACTTGGCTCTATATGCATGGACTAGTCCCATGGTCACGAGGCTGGCACACCGGATAAGGCATTCCATTTCTTACTCTTCGTTAAGGCTGAGCTATTAAGAAATGCCTTTAACCGGCCGGGCATTGTTACAATGCGTTGTTAGCCGGTGCCAGGTGGAGATGCTTATGGTGCTTTGGGATCCGTCTGATTTTCAAAATCACGTTTGCCAAAACCCCTATCCAATATACCGTGTCCGTGCACCTCATGCACGGATTCATCTCGTGCACGCCGAACACCAAACGCGCGTCTCAGCGTCATAACTTCAACGCGCTATAACTCAACAACTATGGCTCCAATTGACGATGCAATTGCAGATTTAGAGTCGCAAGAACCTAG